TGTTAACTAGAGTTCAGTCGACTCCCTATCTTTTACCATCTTATTATTTAAGAAGAGACAGAGGATCAATTAACCTTCGGTTAGCAGTTAACCGATGTTTGTGAGACTGGTCCTAAGTAACGCTCCAGTCGTGACTGAAGGGAAAAAGACCAACAAAAGAGCGGAGCGCACCGATAGTGTATCGGGCCTGAGCCTTCTGATTGGCTACAAGCCACTTTTAGAGACGCATGTATCGATAAAAGGGAATTCAGAATACGGGCCATTGTGTTCTTAGGAAATGACCTTTTAAGCTACTTTAAGCCCGTGTCCCACTACGTATTGCGGACGCGGATTGGATTGGGATTACGGATTGCGGATCGAAATTCAGCCAATCACAGCGAGGCAACTTGGGATCCGGATTGCAGATCGCAGGATAGACGACTGTCTATTTGTACGATCCGTAATCCAATCCGCGTCCGCAATACGTAGTGTGACACGGGCTTTAGGTTGCCAAGTGTCATATCTTGATTTTCTTGTTAGGCTCATTTTTTTTTCGCGCGCACGTCTCGGCGAAGAAAGGACGAGGTCTTGGACGAAGCGGCCGACCGCTCCCACCGTATACGCGACCTATTCGAGATTTCATTGTCGGCCGCTTATTGTAAATTGACGGGTAACGATGATGCGCGCGGCGCGGCGCGTTAAATGTCTCGTCGTGCACGCGAATCGCGCTGATGGCCCGGCGTCGCGATAACGCTTCTTCGGCGTTAATTGCACCGCCGCGGGCGGAGAACGCGACACATCGGCCGACACCTCTTCGCGATGGAAACATAATATTCTGTATACTTCTCGGGCCTGTCGTACATTCCGTATCTGCTTCGCGCTTCCGTCGTAGACATCACGATACGACAGTGCACCGACATTACTAAGGGGTAGGGCCTCTCCCTTTCCCTTCCTCCCGGGGACGAAATTTAGGGAGAATCTGCGATCTTTATCCTTGATAACAGTTTCAATCATTTATCGCACCGCCAGCACCGGTGTCTGCGAAGACTCAAAACGACAGACACGGAAGGGATACTTGAAAACATGAAATGTAACTAGACGGGCGTCTCACCAACACGTGGCTCAGTGGTCGAATTGGTGAGACTAGAGTGTAGGGAAGTCCAGGTTCAAACCCTGGCTGAGGTACCTAATATTTTTCGCAATAAATTTTCTGTATTATTAAAAAAATGCCAGATATGGTCAAGAAAACACTGACGTTGTTAATTACTGCTGGCGACATTTAAGAATATTCTTATTAGTTGATTAAATATAACGCTCGAGTTTATTGCGCGTTTACGTAAGTTATCGCTCGTGATTTGACTGGTAAATTATTACCGTGCAAACCCAATAAATTACGCTTGATTGTTGCACGATTGTCCATTGATATCGCGTGCGATTTTTAGGGTGATTAAAGGGTAGTGCAATGTATAATAACAATTTCGTTCGACCGGCTTGTATCGGCTAAAAATGTCGGGATTAGCCGACTGGCGCGAGTGTGTCTAACGGCGGCGATTACCGGCGGCGATACACGCGACCGGCATACGTGTTTGCGAGGCTAAATCGCGGCATTTCACGAAGCGGAATAATTCCTTCCCCAGGGCCTGCAGCGCCGCGGCGGCGGGGCGATAACGTCGCGGCTTCGCCGCGTACAAGGAATTCCAGGACGCTTTCCCGCGATGTCGTGGCGTATGTACCTCGCGGAAGGTTTACGATCGCTTTATCTCTCGAAAGAAAATTTCGTCGTAATCGTAGAATGTTACGATAAATCTGCCCGCCGCGATAAATCTACCCTTTTTACGGGAACGGGAAGAGAGCTGTCGGTATATCGCTGTATACTTGAGTCTACGAAGCGAAAGACCCCGCGAAAATGACGCGGAGAGCGAATCGATGTCGCCTCGATGTTGAAGTCAAATACGAGAAATTCCAATGTTTCTTTCCACATTGACCGTTTCCTCATTGGAATAACTCTATTAACTGCAGATTTTACGTTTAGAGACACGGGCATTCTTAAGTAACGACGTCACGTCATTTATTTAGAAATTAGTGTCTCTGTGGAACGTGTTTTTAGCGGTGAGAAATTAATAGAGGAAAGTCCGCTATTATGAGATCGGTTTTTAATACGAGTTAGCGGAGCTTCTGCTAAATTGATAGGCGTCATCTGTTGGTCCCACCAATGAATTTGTTGTCCTTGGAGTGAAATCTGTTTAGTGGAAAATTCATTGTTAAGGCCTGTGTCCACGATGCTGGAACTTGGGCCAAGTTCTAGTTTCGAGAGATGTGTAGCCAATCAACTTGCAGCTATTCCATAAAACCTGCAAGATAGTAGGTTTTCAACATCCAAATTCAATCACAAATCTTTTTACGCAACGATTACACGATCTAAAGGCCTGAGTCCACGGTGCTAGAACTTG